GAGAGAGAGAGAGAGAGAGAGAGAGAGAGAGAGAGAGAGAGAGAGAGAGAGAGAGAGAGAGAGGGATTGATTTACGTGCAGCTAGATTGGACACTTGCACAATTTGAACTCTAAGAGTTGTTTGAATGCACAATCTGAGATAAGCAGGAATTTATGAGAAAGATCGTAAAAGGTGGGGGAGGCAAGCGAGCGAGAAAGTGGGAGGGAGATGGGAGGAAGGGGAGGTAGAGGTAGGGAGGGGAAGTTGATGGGAGGGAAGGGGTGGTAGGGTAAGGAGGTTGATTGAGGGGCGGGCCAGAAAGAGGCACAAAGACAGACTAGAGAGACGCCTGGCATTATGAAAGTGGCTGTTCGGGAGTTCTGAGATGTTGTTGATTCCCACAGTGAGGGTGTAGTCATACTTGCTACAATTGTTCTGACTTTGTAAACTGAACAGCAGGGCTCCCATGAGGCTGTTAGTCGTCGAATTGCGGGTGTAGCCCCACTTGCTTCACCCTTTACCTCCAAACTGAGTGTGTAGCCACACTTGCTACAATTGTGCTGACTGTTCACATTGCGGTCCTCCTCACCAAATAGTCATTGGGGAACTTCGTCAGTTTGCATGGGCTCATATTCAGAGTCCTCCATGCCTCGCCTTTCCGGACTGACCCGTCTGCCCCCCCCATCTCCCCTCACGTTTGGATGTGCCCGCGTCCGATGTGGTTGCTGCGGGCTTGGATGGGCCGTTCCTGGCTTCCGCTTGCCGCCGCTCTTGCTGGAGCTGCGGGTCGAATCAAGCCTCCAGCATGCGCCACGCCTTGCGCTTCGCCTGGGCATCGGGGTGCAGCATCAGGTCTAAAGAGCGGCACATTTCTGTCTCCTGCGCTACCAGTCCCCATCTCCTCTCTGGAGAGGCATCTCCCATCATTGTCCAGGTGGCCATGCGTGAAGCAGTGTTCACAAAACGGTGTTTTACTTATGAGAACGCGCACTTCTTGGGTAGTGGACGGACCCCTGGCCACCAGCATGCTATCAGCATACGTGTTTCTGAGTGGGCCCGCTATCATGTATTTGGTGTATTCCCGCTCTTCTTCTCCAAGTATCTCGTGCCTATGATCTTTCCGAAGAAAGCTTCCAAGCCCCGTACCCATTTCACCGCCACCGGTGTAGTCCTGAACAACTTCACCCAAGGCCACCTCCATAGTCCTGAACAACTTCACCCAAGGCCACCTCCGTCGCTCCTCCACTCTCTGCTTTTCGTGTTCTGCTGGTGTTTTCCATGCGAGGAGGGGGATATCCACCCATTGTCCCCCAAGCGGAAGGGACTCCTGCTTATGCCCCTCAATCAGCCAATCCCTAATCTCCACTGTTGGGGCCAGTTATGTAACCGCCGTGTCCCCTTCCGCTTCAAATTCCCCTCTCCACTGTCCCCTTCCCAACACCCATGTTGGTTCCAAAGTCTGCACCCACACTTTTCTGGTGGACGTCCGCCAGTTCCGCACTCAACCCTGTAGCTTACACCACCATATGGGTGCAAATGTACGTATTTTGAAGGTAGGTAACCTCGTTCACCGGCTTAGCAATACACCGCCCCTTGTCGATCACGTAGTTGACCAGGCCGTTCCCCGGCCAACGGCAAGTCAAATACATATGCTCGCCTTATGAGCTCCATTAAACCCCATCTATCCCATCCTGTAGACCCTACTGCCAGCCCACCCCCCTTGTACTCATCATGTCCCAAGGATGTTATTCTCTCACCCAGGCTCCCGACCCCTCCCCTTCACCTCCAATAAAGATAGCTCGTCGTTAAACATGACTGCCCGGTCTTGTTGAGAGAGGTGCGAGGTGTCTTCAGTCGATCACGGGAGTAGGATGTGCACGTGGATTAACTTCAATCAAGCCTCCCCCCTTGCCATCACCTTCGCTCCTGGCCTCGGCTTAATAGAGGCTGCTCCACCCCGATATCCACTTACCTATTGGTGCCCCGGAAAGTCATAGAGCCTGTCGGCGCGCTCCACTCCATTCACCACCTGTCAGCGCCTGGGTTGACTGCGTAGATGTTTTCCCACCAAGATCAACTTCCCTATAGGCGCCTCAGGAAGTCGTGTTTCCTATCGGCACATTCTATCCCAGTGACCGCAAGTCACCGATGTTTCTGTCTGTTACAATCCATCCCGGGTTGACTGCATAGGTATATCATCCCGTCGAGCGCTGCTTGTCGGCGTCAGTATGTTGTCTTTCAGGGTTTCCCACCAAGATCAACTTGCATACAGGGCCTGTTCTCCTTTCCTGTAGCTGCGCCGTCCAGCTATTCCCACTAGTCAAGGTCCATCGATACTAATGTCCCAAGTATCTCCCACATCCATCTCGTAAGCCGCCCGACCCTGGCCCCTCCACCTCCACTTGTTACGTTGCCTCCTTAATCTCGCTCACCTCCAAACTACCAACCACGGCTGGTGCTAGAGAGATTGAATCCTACCCAACCTCCTCGTACTCACGCCCGCTACGCTATTTTGCGCTGCAAAAAAGTTTTTTTGCCATCGTTCTTTCTATCTAACTGTTGTCGTTTTGCATTTTTTGTCTTTTTTCGTTTGTTTTCTTTTTTTCTTTTTCTTGGACCATTTCTCAACGGGAATTTTGTGGACCCAGGGAGCAGCCCACTAGTCTGCTGGGCTTTCTGGTTTGGCCTGCGGCTGGTCCCTGTCCTTTGGGCTGATCGTTAAAAAAAATAGTGTTGTGTGGTGCCTTCTTCTCCCTTGAAATGTGCCATGCAATGGCATGCATCCCTTTCTTTTTTTTTGCTTGCACCACGCCAGGCATGCCTTTTGTCCTCCATCACATGGTGTTGCTTGTGCACGCGCACATGCAGGACGGAGATAGAGAGAGGGGAGCGGGAGATAGAGAGGGGAGGGACAAGAGAGAGAGAGAGAGG